GCTGCCATAAGTCCCTGATCGCCGCCATAATTCGCTGATCGCCGCCATTATTAGTATAAAAAAAAAACCTAAAAATCCCAGTATCTTTCCCGCCCTTTTATAAACGCTATAACTTTCACGTAAACCAATTAATTTACACGTATTGGGTTTTTTTGTTAGCAAAGACATGTCGCAGAATGCATTTTGGCAGAAATTTATGACTAAATTTGTTTTTGCATTTTTTTTTTTACTGGACATGTTTTATAGCAAAAAGTCCAAAATATTGTTTTTTTTTTCCTCAAAATTGTCAGCCTTTTTTTTATAGCTCAAAAAATAAAAAAACCGCACAGGCGATAAAATACCACCGAAAGAAAGCTCAATTTGTGGGGAAAAAAAGGATGCAAATTTCATTTATGTACCGTATTGCATGACCGCGCAATTGTCCGTTAAACTAGCGCAGCGCTGTATAGCAGAAAAATGGCGTATCCCAATTGCAGTATCTATACCATAGTTCGTAGACGCTATAACTTCCACACAAAGCAATCAATATACACTTATTGGGATTTTTTTTACCAAAAACATGGAGCAGAATACATTTTGGCCTAAAATTATAACTAACTTTGAGTTTACTATATATTTTTTATAGCTGAAAGTAAGAAATATTGTTTTTCTTCAAAATGTTTGGCTTTTTTTTGTTTATAGCATGAAAAATAAAAAGCGCACAGGTGATCAAATTACACCCAAAAGAAAGCTCTATTTGTGTGAAAAAAAGGACGTAAATTTTGTTTGGGTGCAGCATTGCATGACCGCGCAATTATCAGTTGAATTAGTGCAGCGCCGAGTAGCAAAAAGAGGCGTGGTCATTAAGGGGGGTAAATCCTCAGGAGCTCAAGTGGTTAATAACAAAAAGTCAAAATATTGTTTTTTTCTCAAAATTGTCAGTCTTTTTTTTTTTTATAGTGCAAAAGAATAAAAAACTCACAGGCGATCAAATACCACCAAATGAAAGCTTCGTGGGGAAAAAAAAGGACATACATTTAATTTGGGTGAAGCGTTGCATGACCGCGCAATTGTCAAAGTATTGCAGTGCCGTAATGCAAAAAAATGGACTGGTCAGGAAGGAGGGGAAATCCTCAGGAGGGGGAGGGGTTAATAAATAGCTCACGCCATATTTTAGTAGGTTTTTTTTCTTCAATAAAGAATGTTTTTAGTAGCTGTGCGGTATCTTACGATCGGATAAAGATACCACTTAGTGAACTGAAGCTCGCGGTCGAACTTTCGTTATGTTCGACTGTTCGACCGCAAACCGAACGGGGGGGGGGGTGTTCGGCCCATCCCTAATCATTAGTAAAGCATATAATATTTATTTTTATTTATCAGACAGGAAACATCAGTTTTCAAACTTGAAAACTTTAAAAAAAAATTTAAATAAAAATTGATGAAATTTTTTTTTTTAAAGCAGAAACAATCTAGTCACAAAGGACTGGAGGGGACAGGGGCGGACTGACCATTCGAACACTCGGGCACTGCCTGAGGGCCCGGGGTCAGTAGAGGCCCCCCTGAAATGCCCTGGTACCTTTTTATAAGCTTTTTTGGGTGTGCTTTGAGCAGGGGTAGACTGACAACTCATGGGGCCCCTGGGCAATAGGAAATCATGGGGCCCCTGTGTCCTCGCCCACACTCAAACCACACCCAAAAATGCCTGTGAAAGGTACCAGGGGCATCTCATGGGTCCGCCTACTAACCCGGGCCCTAGGGCAGTGCCCGAGTAACTAAATGGTCAGTCCACCCCTGGCTTTGAGTGTGGGCAAGGACACAGGGGCCCCATGATCCCCTATTGTCCAGGGGCCCCATGAGTTGTCAGTCCGCCCCTGGGAGGGGATCAGCGGATGGGAAAAGGATTAAAAAAATGTAACGATTTATTTCAGGTACTTATATAGCGCCGTCAATTTACGCAGCGCTTTACATATATATTTGTACATTCACATCAGTCCCCGCCCCTGAGGGGCGCACAATCTAAAGTCTTGAACTCACATTCATATACTAGGGCCAATGTAGACAGGAGCCAATTAACCTACCAGCATGTCTTTGGAGTGTGGGAGGAAACCCACACAGGCACAGGGAGAACATGCAAACTCCAGGCAGGTGGTGCCATGGTTGGGATTCGAACCGACAACCCGAGTACTGCCAGGTGGAAGTGCTAACCATTTAGCCCCTGTGCTGCCCTAATGATGGTATAGAAAAAAATGACAATGACAATTGTTTGCTGAATATCAGCCTTTTAGGGTGTACATAGCTGATTGGTTGGGAGGGGGATCTATTGACCGGCTTGTCCTCCCCTCTAAGTTTCCCGATTTTTATAACGATGGCAGAGTCCCCCTTTAGGTGTCATGCCAATCTCACAGCTCAGGTGATCGGCAGATCGTCACGTCGATCTCTCTCTATGGGAAGCATCCCCAGCCGGCCGCAGAAATGTAAAAATAATCATGTTAAAACTTATTGCGAGGGATTGCGTGGCATAATTCATCAGCGCTTCCTGCATTATTGCATTTCCAGAAAACACGGGGCATAAATAATTGATTGGATTTTAATGAGCGGGTTTTAAAAGCCCAGATTAGACACATAAATCATATCCGGGCAAACTCGGTGCCTAAGATAACAAATCATATATGTGCTGAGTCCGCGTGTTTGATCTTGCACCGCCGCCAGCTCTCTGCCGGTACACGCCGCCGGCCGTTGTCTGTGGACGTCGAAGGTGGCCATTCGGGGGGGGGGGGGGGGGGCTGAGCTCAGCCAAGAGAAACCAAACTTTTGTGCAGATTTCATACATTCCAAAAAAAAAGTTGCGATTGGACATCAAACCATGGGGCCCCCAAGCACGAGGGGATCATGGGGCCCCTGTGTCCTCGCCCACACTCAAACCACACACGAAAAAGCCTATGAAAGGTGCCAGGGGCATCTCATGGGTCCCCCTACTGACAGTGCCCCTGCATCAAACCCTTACTTCAGCAACCAACTTCCCATCAGATCATATCTGCATTCAATGAATTTAATGCATAGTATTTACTTGTAAAAGTCTCCCTTGTGTGGATATCCAAAAACCCTCATATTACTACTCGGTGCCGCCATCTTTAATATTGATTGGGCCCTGGGCAAACATTTTCTTGGGACCCCCTCCCACACACACACACACAAAAAAACCTGCAAGTAGACTCAAAATCAATTTACTGCAGTAGATCAGCAGATCAGGCAGCGTTTGCAATTGCAGCCTATCACTGCCACTCATTGACTGTTTATTAGAGGTTACAACACATTGTTTCTGCTTGCTGATTGGTTGCTAGAGGTTATTGTACATTTACTGCTCACTGATTGGTTGCTATAGATTACTGCTTATCATTAGTGCTCATTGAGTGGTTGCTAGAGGTTACAGCACATTACACCACTTTCCAAATTATTATGCAAATTCTATTTAAGTGTCACAAAGGTTAAATATTTTGTTTTTCAGTGTAACTCATGGATGGCATTGTGTGTCAGGGCTCTTTTGATCACTGAAAACAATCTCGGACACCTGTGATAATTAGATTGGCCGGTGAGCCCAATTTAAGCAAAAACTACTAAAGGAGGGCGTTCCACATTATTAAGCAGAGCGCCATTTTCAAGCAATATGGGGAAGAAAAAGGATCTCTCTGCTGCCAAAAAGAGTGAAATAGTTCGATGCCTTGGACGAGGGATGAAAACATTCGATATTTCACGAAAACTTAAGCGTGATGATCGCACTATGAAGAGATTTGTGGCTGATTCAGAGCACAGACGGGTTGGTGCAGATAAAGGCACATTGAGGAAGATTTCTGCCAGATCCATGCATCGGATCAACAGAGCAGCTGCTAAAATCCCATTACATAGCAGCAAACAGATATTTGAAGCTGCTGGTGCCTCTGGAGTCCCACAGACATCAAGGTGTAGAGTCCTCCAGAGTCCTGCAACTGTGCATAAACCTTCTATTCGGCCACCACTAACCAATGCTCACAAGCAGAAACGGCTGCATTGGGCAGAAAAATACATGAAGACTAATTTTCAAACAGTCCTGTTCACTGAGGAGTGCCGTGCAACCCTGGATGGTCCAGATGGATGGAGTAGTGGATGGTTGGTGGACGGCCACCCTGTTCCAACATGGCTGCGACGTCAGCAAGGCGGTGGTGGAGTCATGTTTTGGGCCGGAATCATGGGAACAGAGCGGGTCGGCCCCATTTAGGGTCCCCAAAGGTGTAACGATGACCTCTGCAAGGTATGTGGTGTTTATGACTGACCACTTTCTTCCCTGGTACAGAAGGAAGAACTATGCTTTCCGTAATAAAATCATCTTCATGCATGACAATGCGCCATCTCATGCTGCAAAGAATACCTCTGCATCAATGGCTGCTATGGGGATAAAAAGGAGAGAAAGTCATGGTGTGGCCTCCATCCTCCCCTGACCTCAATCCCATTGAGAACCTTTGGAGCATCCTCAAGCAAAAGATCTATGAGGGTGGGAGGCAGTTTACATCCAAACAGCAGCTCTGGGAGGCTATTCTGACACCTTGCAAATAAATTCAAGCAGAAACTGTCCAAAAACTCCCAAGTTCAATGGATGCAAGACTTGTGATCTGCTATCAGATAAGGGCTCCTATGTTACAATGTAATGTGACCGCTTCAAATGTTTACAAAGTTACAATGTTGTTAGAAGTTTGATAGAAATAGCTTTTGATTTCAGTAAATATGCTGCAAACACAACAAATGACAATTTTCAGTTCTTTACAACCTCTAAAGTGTTTTGAAACTTCCTGTGCGGAATAATTTGGAACAAAAATCCTGTTATCATCAGGAGGTTTGTTCAATAAAATGTGAATTGTACTCTTATAGTTGTAACCTGAGAATTATGACGACTGATATTTACATCAATTATTTAGGTAAATGAGAAAAATATAATTTGCATAATAATTTGGAACACGGTGTATTAACGATTACTGATTTTGTGGATGTATTACAGGAGATGACCAGAGACTGCGGACATAGTACAGAAGATGACCGGAGACTGCGAACACAGTACAGGAGATGACCAGAGACTGCGGACACAGTACAGGAGATGACCAGAGACTGCGGACACAGTACAGGAGATGACCAGAGACTGCGGACACAGTACAGGAGATGACCAGAGACTGCGGACACAGTACAGGAGATGACCAGAGACTGCGGACACAGTACAGGAGAAGACCAGAGACTGCGGACATAGTACAGGAGATGACCAGAGACTTCGGACATAGTACAGGAGATGACCAGAGACTGCGGACACAGTACAGGAGATGACCAGAGACTGCGGACACAGTACAGGAGATGACCAGAGACTGCGGACACAGTACAGGAGATGACCAGAGACTGTGGACACAGTACAGGAGATGACCAGAGACTGTGGACATAGTACAGGAGATGACCAGAGACTTCGGACACAGTACAGGGGATGACCAGAGACTGCGGACACAGTACAGGAGATGACCAAAGACTGCGGACATAGTACAGGAGATGACCAGAGACTGCGGACATAGTACAGGAGATGACCAGAGACTGCGGACACAGTACAGGGGATGACCAGAGACTGCGGACATAGTACAGGAGATGACCAGAGACTGCGGACACAGTACAGGGGATGACCAGAGACTGCGGACACAGTACAGGGGATGACCAGAGACTGCGGACACAGTACAGGGGATGACCAGAGACTGCGGACACAGTACAGGAGATGACCAGAGACTGCGGACACAGTACAGGAGATGACCGGAGACTGCGGACACAGTACAGGAGATGACCGGAGACTGCGGACACAGTACAGGAGATATCCGGAGACTGCGGACAGTACAAGAGATGACCGGAGACTGCAGACACAGTACAGGAGATGACCAGAGACTGCCCATCAGTGCAGCCTCATCAACGCACATCAGTGAAGGAGAAAAAGTACCCGTTTGCAAAATTTTATAATCGAAACAAAGAAAAACTTTTTTTTTGCTCTTTTTTTGTTTATAGCGCAGAAATTAAACATCCAGCGGCAGGTAAATACAACCAAAAGAATTCTCTATTTGTGTGAAAGAAATTGTAAAAATTTCATATGGGTACAGTGTGTTGCATGACAGCACAATTGTCATTCAAAGTTTAACAGTGCTGAAACCTAAAACGTGGCCTGGGCAGGAAGGTCTGGGCTATGTGAGCCACTACAGACAGCTTCTCTGGGATAAAATCTGCCGGGGGGGCGCGCAGCTGAAATTTGGGGGGGAGCAGGCAACCCCAGCACCCCACTAGATCCGGCCATGCCAGGAAGGGGCCATCCCCAAACTCTTCCCACAAAGTTGGGAGCATGAAATTGTCCAGAATGTCTTGGTATGCTGATGCCTTAAGAGTTACCTTCACTGGAACTAGGGGGCCAAGCCCAACCCCTGAAAAACAACCCCACACCATAATCCCCCCTCCACCAAACTTTACACTTGGAACAATGCAGTCAGGCAAGTACTGTTCTCCTGGCAACCGCCAAACTCAGACACGGCCATTGGATTGCCAGACAGAAAAGCATGATTGGTCACTCCAGAGAACACGTCTCCCCTGCTCTAGAGTCCAGTGGCGGCGTGCTTTACACCACGGCATCCGACGCTTTGCATTGCACTTGGTGATGGAAGACTTGGATGCAGCTGCTCGGCCATGGAAACCCATTCCATGAAGCTCTCTGCACACTGTTGTTGGGCTCATCTGAAGGCCACACCAAGTTTGGAGATCTTTAGCTATTGACTCTGCAGACAGTTGGTGACTTCTGCGCACTGTGCGCTTCAGCATGCGCTGACCCCGCCCTGTCATGTGACGTGGCCTACCACTTGGTGGCTGAGTGGCTGTTGTTCCCAGTGGCTTCCACTTTGTTATAATCCCACTAACAGTTGAGCGTGGAATATTTAGTAGCCAGGAAATGTCACGGATGGACTTTATTGCCCAGGTGGCCACCTATCACGGGACCACGCTTGGAGTCACTGAGCTCCTGAGAGTGACCCATTCTTTCACCAATGTTTGTAGAAGCCGTCTGCATGCCTAGGGGCTTGATTGTATACACCTGTGTCCATGGAGGGGATTGGAACACCTGAATCACATGACTGGGAGGGGATTGGAACACCTGAATCACATGATTGGGAGGGGATGGAACACCTGAATCACATGATTGGGAGGGCGGGGCCAATACTTTTGGCAATATAGTGTAGCTACAGTACATCATGGCTATCGCAGGAGGCAGGGGGTTGCTAAGTCGCTGCTCTGTGGCCAGGGGTGGACTGACAACTCATGGGGCCCCCGGACAATAGGGAATAATGGGGCCCCTGTGTCCTTGCACAAACTCAAAAAAGCCTATGAAAAAGTCCCAGGGGCATCTCATGCGGCCCCCTACTGACCCCGGGCCCTCAGGCAGTGCCCGAGTTTCCAAATGGTCAGCCGCCCCTGATTGCAGCACCTCCCTAGATAGGTGCTAGGTTAGGTAAATTTAGCTTTGGCTCACTGTGATCAGTTGAGCTGCGTGTCATTATTTCGGTCTGTTCTTTGTTTCACTGGCTGCAGATCGACTGTTTCCTCCGGTCTGTCTGGTGGGTTCCGTCAGATAACACTGTTCAACAAATTTTTATTTTTGCCAGTTTTGGAAAACAAAAGGATCCATTTCTTAATGAATTTCACATTCTGAGTTCAAATATAACAATGAAATTTGTCAATTGGCTCTAGTTTTTCTGTAAACGGAAAGTTTTTCTACTATAGGCGTAATGACTACATAATGCACAATAATTATATAGATAGATGTCTTTCCACAAATATAAAGCAAGTGATATGACTACATAACAAAGCCTAAAAGGCATAATATATTGCATAGGATTACCAAGAACAATTATAGCCATAAGCTAAGTTGAATCATTTTAATACTTAGGATTCTCCCTAGTTTTGTCTTCAGTTTGTGTCGGTTTTTGCTTTTCTTGGCTTTTCTCTTGTATTCGAGGAAAGGGGCTATCTCTTACAACTGCACGTGACTACACGCTTCTCAGGTTCTTCCTCACTTGACTCAACCACGAAGGATTCTGGTGCTTTAGGAATTGGTAGCCCCTCTCCATGAGGAACTGGACGTATTGCCGATGGAAGATTTGGATAGTGCACAGATAACTTTTTCTTCTTATTTCGCCCTTTTACAATTGGAGGCACCATACAAAAGTAACAATTACTAACATGATCTGTTGGCTCTCTCCCAAATCATTGGCACAGCGAAAGGCATAGAGGCCTTTTTTCCATTCAACCATTGCTCCAGTGCCGTCCCACAAGAATTGCAGCATATATGTGGTGCCCAGCTCTTGTCCTGGTCTCCTATCTTGCAGCCAAAATACAAGTTGTAGGCTTTCTTAATCATTCCTGTTATCCTCCTTTTTTGTGAGAAAAAGTTATTTCACCGCAGATATAGCAGAAATTCTCTGCTTTTTCACACAAGTTCGAGCATTACTGAGTAGCTATATAAGCATAAAACAAAATGTAAAGATGCTGTCGAACTACAATCAGCTACAGATACTGCAGCTTTTATGCAGTGAAGTGATGCAATTAAAAAGGCTAATATTGCATCATCTCAGTATACATGCAATTTTCTATTGGTCACCAGTATCAATTGCGCAATATGCAGCTGAAGTTGCATCATAATTTTGAATGGCTTACGTCATTAGATGGGTGAATATATCATGGAAACTAGAGCCAATCAACATTTTTTAGGGTCATTTTCGTTTTCAGCACCCCAAAATTATGTAAGATTAGCTAATTTTTATGCCCAAAAAACTTTTTACCTGTTGAACAGTGTAATGGGCTTAGGAGGGTCAAATCAGCAGCTGAATATCTATGCAGTCCTGGGCCAATCCCTAAGGAATGGTACCCAGGTGGCTGCTGGGGGGAGGACATAAAATAGCCTGGGACAGAGTGCTTCTTGTCCTGGAGGGGGAGATCCCAGCCTGGAGGGCTGCTGCCTTATTGGACAGACTTGCCGTGCTTCTGCTGCTAAAGAACTGAACTCCTCCTGCGCTTGGGTAGTCGGCCCAAGAAGGGTTAATAGGCTGCAGTCCAAAACTTGGCCTGCATGGGGCGCACTCGCCTTTGCTGCTGCCTCAGCCTTGGGGGTCTAGAAGCACTGCGATAACAACAAGCAGACGGGGGCGCAGTAGGCTTAGTGCATTATCCTTCAGCCCGGGTTCACACTGATTCTGCGCGGAATTTGCAGCCTTTTCTATGCGCATCAGAATTGCACCCGTTCATGCGTTCAAGGGTTTTATATTAACCACCTCTTGTCCGGCCCATGTAATATAAACAGCCAGATGGTGGCAGTGCAGGGTCCAGGTGGCCGTTTAGATAAACGTCCTCCCCACCCCCTGCTTGTGCACGCTCCCTGGGAGCGCGCAGCACCTCGATCCGGTGCCTGCTGGTCCTCCGGACACAGTGGAAATCACCGATCGTCGTCGACGGGACCTCTGTACGAGGTCCTGATCATGTGATCACTGATTGGCCAATCAGTGATCGCATGCAGAGTAGTAAGCAAGATGTCACTTCTGACATCATTGCTTACTACGTGTGAAATCTGTGAATGATCACAGAGATCACATGGTACAAAGGGGCTATTCACAACAGCCTTGTACCATGTGACAAGCTGTGACCAAATCACAGCTTCACTCAGTACTTCTCAATTTGAGTGCAAGAATGCAGCCAGAGAGAAGGAGAAATGATTGCTTTTTACATCCTATATGGTATAACAAGCAATCAGTGTAAAAAAAAGGTCTGCAACCTTTTAAAGACATAAAGAGCCACTTGGACCCGTTTTCCGAGAGGGAAAAAAAGACTGGGAGCCGCAAAACCATTGCAACATTTAAAACAAATCCGACACTGCATATATTGCAAAAAGCGCTCTGGTCATGAAGGGGGTTTAAGGGCCCAGTAAGCAAAGGGTTAATCAGGGCCACAGTGTATCGTCATTAATCACAATCATAGCCTTAGGCCAGTGTGTGGGCAACCTTTTTTTTTTCAACTGAGCCAATCTCGCCAAACCACGATTGAAATTTATTTTTGAGAGCCACATTTTTAAAACTGAAAATACATCCCCCCATAATAGTAATTCATCCCCCATATAGTAATTCAATCCCCCATAAAGTAATTCATGCCCCCATAGTAATTCATCCCCCATAGTAATTCATCCCCCATATAGTAATTCATCCCCCATAATAGTAATTCATCCCCCATAGTAATTCATCCCCCATATAGTAATTCATCCCCCATAGTTAATTCATCCCCATATAGTAAATTCATCCCCCATATATAGTAATTCATCCCCCTATAGTAATTTCATCCCCCCTATAGTAATTCATCCCCCTATAGTAATTCATCCCCCATATTAATTCATCCCCCTATAGTAATTATCCCCCATTAGTAATTCATCCCCCATATTAAGTCGCCCCCCCTGTGTCAATTTCACTTACCTTTTGCTCCGCCGTGTTCCCGCGCCGCACCTCTAGCAATGAAAATCTGTCTCCTATGAGGATCTGTCCCCCTCGACGTATCTGCGCATGTGCCAGTTTTCAGGCATTAGCAGCCGATAGGCGCGATCTCCGGCACATGCGCAGATACGTCGAGGGGGACAGATCCTCAGAGGAGACAGATTTTCATGCTACAGGACCGGTCTTCAGGGCGGACTGAATGAGAGGAGCCTAGCGGAGCCTAGCTCCGCGGGGCCGGATTAAAAAGATCCGCCCGGGCCGTATGTTTGCCCATTGCTGCCCCTATTGCCTGTCACCTGGTGGGGCAGTGTGCTCGGAGCCGCAGCCAAGGGTGAAAAAGAGCCGCGGGTTCTTGCCGAGACACCCGTGCTAGGGTGACCAGTATGTAAAAAAAATAAATAAATAAATAATATAAAAAATGTAAAAAAAATGTTTAAAAATTATAATTTTGATTATGAACTAATTTGTGTTATTATTTTTTTTTTTACTAAAAAGATAACGAATACATTTGGCCAAGATTTATGATGAAATATTATTTATTGCAAAATTTTATAAGAAAAACACTTTTTTTTTTAAATTTTTGGACCTTTTTCATTTACATAGCAAGAAAAAACTAAAAATCCCAGTGGTGAATAAATACCACCAAAATAAAAGCTTTATCTGTCTCAAAAAATTCAAAAAAATTCATATGGGTACAGTGTTGCATGACGGCGCAATTGTCATTCAAAGGTTTGTGACAGTGCTGAAAGTTGAAAATTGGCCTGACAGGAAGGGGGGAAAGTGTCCGGACTGGAAGGGGGGAAAGTGGTCCGGACTGGAAGGGGGTGAAAGTGTCCGGACTGTGGAAGGGAGTGAAAGTGTGAGTTGCGACTGGAAGGGTTGTTGAAAGTGCCGGGTACCTGGTGTTTTTCGGTTTTTTTGGGAAAGCGAGTCCCGGACTGAAGGGGGGAAAGTGTCCGGACTGGAAGGGGGTGAAAGTGTCCGGACTGGAAGGGGGTGAAAGTGTCGGACTGGAAGCGGGGTGAAAGTGTCCGGACTGGAAGGGGGGAAAGTGTCCGGACTGGAAAGGGGGGGAGCAGTGTCCGTACTGGAAGGGGGTGAAAGTGTCCGACTGGGAAGGGGCTGTGAAAGTGTTCCGTGGGGACTGGAAGGGGGGGGAAAGTGTCCGGACTGGAAGGGGGGGGGGAAAGTGTCCGGACTGGAAGGGGGGGGGGGAAAGTGTCCGGACTGGAGGGGTAGAAGGGGGGGACTGGAAGTGTCGGGAGGGGGGGAAAGTGGAAAGTTTCCGGACTGGAAGGGGGGGGGGGGAAGTGTCCGGACTGGATGGAAACAGGGGGGGAAAGTGTCCGGACTGGAAGGGGGGGGAAAGTGTCGCCGACGACTCTGGGAAGGGGAGGAAAAGCGTCCGGGACAGGATAGGGGGGAAAGCGGTCCGTGACATGGAAGGGGGGGAAAGTGTCCGGACTGGAAGGGGGAGGTAAAGTGTCCGGACGGGGAAGGGGGGGAATGTGTCCGGACTGGAAAGTTAACAACACCCCCGAAAGTCGGTTCTGCAAAATGCGGGTGCGATGCGCAGAATCAGATCGCATAGGTGTGAATACCCATCTGCGATCCATTCTATTGTGGAACGCCAAAAAAGGTCCCGTCCCTTTTTTCGGATGGATAGCGGGTGCGAATGTGCGAGATTAGAGCCCTTACAAATGTACGGCTCAAAATGCGGTGGATGCGCAGAAATTCAGATTGCATGCGATCCGCACACAAATCGCAAATGTTACGGTCCCGATTGCACACATAGCGAATGTGGATTGGTAGAGGAATGCGGTGCGGTTCCTGTGCGATTCACACCGATATTACCGCACTGCATATATGTGAACCCGGGCGTAAAGTATTTAATGTGTGTGTAAAAAGGTAAGTATATACTCACAAAGTAATTAAAAGTAAAGTTAATCTCATGAGTGAACAGCACAGACAGTCCGCAAACATCCAGAATGGAACAGAACGATGGAACATCCACAGAACTGACGCGTTTCGAGGACTTATCCTCTTCCTCGGAGCCTACCTGCTTCTTCTGCTGCTCACTGAGGTCCCAGCTATGATTATCTGGGGGGGGGGATATTCTGCTGGAGATTACTGAGATTTTGGGATCTGGTCTGAAGAATTGACAGGAGAGGTGTCTGGAAGATACTGGAAAGAGGCATCCAACTATTCGAGAACATTAGTGAGTAGAGACCGATTGCTTAACCTCTTCACGCCGGAGGAGCGCAAATGTGCAGCCTCCCGGCATCTGGGCCTAGACACCGAGCAGCCACACATTTGCGTTTTATTAAAAAAGAACATATGTGCCGAGAGCACGCGCCCTGCGCGCTCGCCAGCACACATGTCCAATACTCACGGAAAGGTCCCGATCTCCTCTTTCGATCGGGACCTTTCCCGATCATGAGACCGCCGTGACGGTGTGTCACGGCGGTCGCATGATCCTAAACCCTGCCCCGACTCCCGGCTTCTGAAACACTTAAAGGGCCGGGAGGCGCCGCCGCCCAAAGGTTAAGGTCGTGCAAGGAACAGAGAGGGCGGTTTGGGTAAATCATGCGTCATGGAAAATTTCCCATTTTCGGGAGATTGTGATGGAATGAGCAAAACTCCATCAAATAAACATGCCAAGTAACAGCCAACCGCGGCGGTCACATGATCCCAACCCACCCAGCCCCGCCTCCCGGCTTCTGAAACCCTTAAAGGGCCTGGAGGCGCCGGCGCCAAGGGGTTAAGGACCACCCTATAGCAGATATACTGCTACAGGGTGGGCACCTGTGCGCAAAATCACGTAGATTATTTATTTCAGGTCAGGGGCGGACTGACAACTCATGGGGCCCCTGGGCAATAGGGGATCATGGAACACCTGAATCACATGATTGGGAGGGGATTGGAACACCTGAATCACATGATTGGGAGGGCGGGGCCAATACTTTTGGCAATATAGTGTAGCTACAGTATCATCATGGCTATCGCAGGAGGCAGGGGGTTGCTAAGTCGCTGCTCTGTGGCCAGGGGGGGACTGACAACTCATGGGGCCCCTGGACAATAGGGATCATGGGGCCCCTGTGTCCTTGCCCAAACTCAAAAAAGCCTATGAAAAAGGTACCAGGGCATCTCATGGGGCCCCCTACTGACCCCAGGCCCTCAGGCAGTGCCCGAGTTTCCAAATGGTCAGTCCCCTCCCTCTGTTTCAGGTACTTATATAGCGCCGTCAATTTACGCAGCGCTTTACATATATATTGGACATTCACATCAGTCCCCGCCCCCCGAGGAGCGTACAATCTAAGGTCCCTAACTCACATTCATACATACATATACTAGGACAATTTTAGACAGGAGCCAATTCACCTACCAGCATGTCTTTGGAATGTGGGAGGAACCCACGCAGGCACAGGAGAATATGCAAACTCCAGGCAGGTGGTGCCGTGGTTGGGATCTGAACCAACGACTCGAGTACTGCCAGGCGGAAGTGCTAACCATTCAGCCACTGTGCTGCCCTGTGCATTACTGGGTAGGGGCGTGTGCAAGTCGTGACCATAAAAAAAAAAATTGATGTATGAAGCGTTCCCTCTCTTTACACGCCGTGTGCTGCTATAGTGATGACAATGGGAAGCTCGGTCCCAGGAAGAACCCAACAATTCATGGAGGATGTGGGGCCAACGAAGCAATCCATCGATGAACGGGAGAGAGATGAGATCGATGAAAAGCCAAAGACACAATGAGGACAGAAATCAATGGAACTCTATTAGTGGAAACATTCAAATTCTGCATGTAAAACAGAACGATCGTCTCTGGCAGCTGCAACCATTTATTTAATTAACTCCCTTGAGGCCTATCGTACGCAATATGCACCTCTCGGCGTCTGGGCCTAAGTCGGCGAGCGCAGCAACGCTTTGCGTGCAATTAAAAAATAACATATGTGCT